AGTAGCATTAATGATATAGCTTGCTATCTCATTCAACTATATTTGCGGCGTTCGCAGTAAACAGTCCATGATAATATATTCTTCGTGTGGGATTAAAGATACGCTCGCTGTTGGGCGACCCATACGGCAAGGCTTCACATCACCCGTGTTCCAAAAGTTGCTAAGAGTATACGATAGACGGTTTTTGAACAAACAAATAGCTGTGCTGCAATTTCGTCGATGATTCTTTCGTAGAACAGTCGTTGATAAACCATTCTCCACCTTAAATCATCCAAATATGGTCTTGGGCCTTGGCATTTTCTAATCGTTCACCTTGCTATACTCGAACTCGCAATTAACACGCTTGTACAATCCCACGCGTGTTGATGCATAATAATGTCACGTGATCGATATATACATATACTTGCTCAGACAACCTTTTTGACAACGACAGTATATATATATATGTATATATATATATATATATATATATATATATATATAAATATATATATATATATATATATATATATATATATATATATATATATATATATATCTATATCTATATCTATATATATATCTATATATATCTATATATATCTATATATACATCTACATCTACATATATTTCTATATATATATCTATATATATATATATATATATATATATATATATATATATATATATCTATATATATATCTATATATATCTATATATATCTATATATACATCTACATCTACATATATATCTATATATATATATCTATATATATATATCTATATCTATACAGGGTGTATCAAAAAAAAGGTAATCCAACTTCAACAAGCTATTGTACATGAACTACTCAGTCTATGAGCGAATTGTTTTCACATTCGGAAAGATCAGGCTTTTAACTATCGGATGACATGTTTTTAATACCAAATGGTGAAAAAATGAGCAAATACGAGGCTGATAAAAAATGTTAGTCGCAATCGCATATTTTCACCTTTGAGCCTAATTAAAGCAGTGCATAACAAAAGAAAAAAACAATTAATCACGAACATGTCACAGCTTGCACTGGTTTTACGCCGCATTGCTTGGAATGTTTTCCTTATTCCTACTTAATATGCATATGCGGGTAGCTTATTCAAAAGCAAAATTCTTCAATTAAGTCCCAAAGAGAGTTAATTTTCAATGGTTTTAGTCCCAACTCTCAGAGGTGAAAATATGCGATTTCGACTAACACTTTTTATCAGCCTCCTATTTGCTCATTTTTTCACCATTTGGTATCAAAAACATGTCATTCGATAGTTAAAAGCATAACCTTTCGGAATGTGGAAAAAATTCGTTAATAGAATGAGTAGTTCACGTACAATAGCGCACCAAAGTTGGATTACCTTTTTTTTGATACACCCTGTATATCTATATATATCTATATATATCTATATATATCTATATATATCTATATATATCTATATATATCTATATATATCTATATATATCTATATATATCTATATATATCTATATATATCTATATATATCTATATATATCTATATATATATCTATATATATCTATATTAATATCTATATATATCTATATATATCTATATATATATCTATATATATATCTATATATATATCTATATATATATCTATATATATCTATATATATATATATCTATATATATCTATATATATCTATATATATCTATATATATCTATATATACATGTACATCTACATCTACATCTACATATATATCTATATATATATCTATATATATATATATATATATCTATATATATCTATATGTATCTATATATATCTATATATATATCTATATATACATCTATACAGGGTGTATCAGAAAAAACTAGAAGATTTTAAAATGTCCAGAAAACTATCATTTTGTCAAAATATCTCAAAAATATATTTACGTCTAAGTATTTTAGCATCTTCTGGCTTATCTAACAGTAAAAGCTATCAGAAAAATTAACCTAAAAAAGCGGGAGAACGGTTTGTAAAAGCCTCATTTTTAACCGCTTGCGCAAAGAAAATGAGATGTTCAAAATCCAAGTTCATTTAAAGAGATGAAAGTTTGGACTCTTTTGTGCAATGTATCAAAATTTCAGAAAATTTGATAAACATTAAGTCCGCCGTGAGACGTTTCAAAATTGGACTTTTTTCCGTTTACTCCGCTCTCACGTAATCTTTTTTCATGCAAGAATGATTACATGCATGAGTTAAGTACGTCACTCGAACGTGCTCATGCATGTAATCATTCTTGCATGAAAAAAGATTACGCGAGAGCGGAGTAAACGGAAAAAAGTCCAATTTTGAAACGTTTCACGGCGGACTTAATGTTTATCAAATTTTCTGAAATTTTAATACATTGCACAAAAGGGTCCAAACTTTCATCTCTTTAAATGAACTTGGATTTTGAACCTCTCATTTTCTTTGCGCAAGCGGTTAAAAATGAGGGTTTTACAAACCGTTCTCCCGCTTATTTAGGTTAATTTCTCTGATAGCTTTTACT